TAATTTAAGAATCCTTTTTTTTAAACTACGGACATCGAAACTTGCAAAAAAGATTTTCTCACATTCTGCTTACGTCTTCAACTTAAACCGAATTAGCCGCCAAATCAACGAAATGAATACGGTTGATTTTTTATTTTGAAAATAAGGAACAAACGCGCATATCCAATGAATTCTACCCACTTGCACTCAAATAAAATTTTATAAACATTTTTCAGGAAACTTCTAAAGATGCTCACAGACTATGCGAGTATCAAATTATGCTTTTTTATGTGTTCAGTAACGATAAATTGCCAAGCACCGTTTGATTCACCGTGATGATGATGAGCATCATCATTTTGTTTTATGGCACTGCTTTGAATGAACTGGCAAGCATTCTTGTCTTTTATTGTTATTGTTATTATTTAATTTTCTTTTTATGTCGTTTACATTTTGATACTTTTATTGCAGAATTAAATATCACACTATTTACCTTACCAGTGCTTTGTAGCTCTAATGTAATCTTTTTTTGTTGTTTCTAAAAAACGGGCAATAACTGAATATTTTTTGGGGGGTGTTAAAGTGGCATGTTTGGCCATCAGTTTCAGTCGCGATTTCTACTTATTGGCGCCTAAATATAATAGAAGCATTAACTTAAATGGAAAAAAAATTGATAAAATGTAAGCAAACTTATACAGTTGCATTTTATTATCAAACAAAATGTATATATAATTTAAAACATTTGCAGAATTTGCGAAACTGCAAATAAAATGTTCTTTTCTAACACTATCTAAATTTCATCGAAAAAATTGACCACACATTAAAACTCAGTATAATTTAAAAACCCGAATTTATACCGCATTATATAGCTTCAATGACGTCATCCAAAAGCAGGGAATACCTCAAAACGCTAGCAATGACATGGAAACACGCCGAACTCACGGTTAACCTCAATATTTGTTTATTATTGCCGGCGTTCCACATGAGATTAGATGAACATGTTTAAATTCAATTTTGCAAGTGATGAAGAGCAAAGTACCGATACAGGTAAATACGCTAAACAAGAAAATATGCTCTTAAAATCCCCTTGAAACACTAAAAACACTACGTAACTGACCCCAGTTTCCAGCAAAGACCCGGATTGGCTGGAAAGCCAAGAAGTTCCACCTGGAGACGATAATGACGAAATAATCAAAAACATTTTCACCGAATGTGAACAGAACAGTGTAGCTTGCAAAGAGACAACAGTGAAATACTTTTACACTGTAGATGTTCTTAATATACTCAGAACAGAAGACGACGATTTACTCAAGAAGCAACTAGCGGTTCTAAATGCGGATGAAAACCACTCGGATCTTCAAACAGCAGTTTACGAAGGTTTGCGAAATACCACAATCAGACAACCACCAAATTGGTGCCCCACTTTCAGGCGGCCTGAAAATCTGGGAATGTACTTACGATATGTTAAGTTACATTGCTGAAAGCCAGTTGGATTTCCATAACAAAAACGTGTTGGACTTGGGATGTGGGGCTGGACTCATAGGGATGCTTTGCTTGCTAAAAGGGGCAACCTGCACGTTTCAAGACTATGTGAGTGGACCAGCAGTCGTAATCAAATAGTTATTAGTAAAACTGCGCAATCCGATCCAGAACACTGAGGTCCTCAAGTACCTCACAATCCCTAACGTAAAACTGAACGCAGATGAGAAGTACGTGAGCAAAAGCAAATTCTACTCGGGTGATTGGGGCTCGTTTACCAGTTTACTGAACCTTGAAAACGAGGAAATGAGATTTGACTATATTTTCACCGCCGAAACAATTTACAACGTGGACAACTACCCGAAACTGCACGACTGCTTTAAGAACCTCTTGAAACAAAACGGAGAAATGTATCCTTTTTTTAATTCCCCTGCAGTTCAGAACAGTTGCACACTATTGTCTTTAATGTACTGAAGATATGTGGCTGCAAAGTCCTACTACTTTGGAGTTGGAGGAGGCATCTCTTTATTTGAGGACTACCTGAAAAGTAGAACGACGTTCAAGTCGAAAATTTGCTGGGATTCGAGTGAAGGCCTGAAGCGCCAAATACTACAGGTATCTTTTATGTAATATAGCTAAAAGGGGCTCTGCAAGTGTTTGCTCTCGTTCACTCCCCTAAAAAACACTGCAATCAACACCATCAAAATCCAACTAAGGGTGTTAAGATACTTTTGCGAAATAACCCCCGGTAGAACCGGGATCCACTTCGACTCTAAAGGTTCTTCAAAAGATGAGCGGTCATCCTGGTGCTGACTAACGGCTAAGGTGGGTTTGTTTTGTCTTAAGTCCTGATGATTGGCTTTGTTACATTTCCATACAATACAGTCCTCTTGCCGTACTGTGAGATACAACGTGGCATAAATTTGAGGCTGTTTTTAAAGCCACTTACCTGCTATTCGCGGCTTTAGATGATGTGTGGTTCCTAAGGAGAAAAACTGGAAATTTTCCACCGCCTTTGTGTAAAACTCGCACAGGCATATTTCCATGTTGCGCTTAAAAGTAGATCTTTGACGGTGTCATGAGAGAAGTGGTTTTGACTGGTGGGAATGAGTGCGATTTACTTATATATTTGAGTTTTTGCTAGATTTTGTGCGACGCGTGCAATATTTCTCCCCAAAAATACTTTATTTGCCTTCAAGGAATGCTTATAGTTAACATTGATTTTTTTTAATGCTTAAGGGCACAGCCTCTCATAGATCCACCCGTCCTCGCCTTGATGCGTTAAATCGTTATCAGGTTCGCCGTCTTTTGGAAAGCGGAAGCGAATTCTATCGTGGATTCGATCAGTTTGCCCTTGCCAAAACTCGATTGTATGCGGCTTCAGCAAGTAACCGCCCCTAAAATTCGGGTGATATTCAAAATGTAACATTTATTAGTTACTTACCACTGGCGAGGTCTTGGAACTTCGTTGATTGGATGGATTTGTCGTAAATGAGCCTCTTTCAATGCGAGTGCATCTCGATTACGAACGGGTTTGCTTTGGTCGCTGCAAAGCGCCCCTATCTGGCTTTCGTAGGGTCTTTTGCTGAAATATTCATCGGCGTCTTCTATGGGCAGTTTTTCCACATCTCCCTCTATTCGCACCTAAAAAATGCCATCAATACACTTGGTTAATAAGCATTTTGTTTTTGATTTTCCAACCGATCGACTGTAGTGCTCCCAGTAAAATGTAAGCGCTGCTTTGGGGTTTTCTTCCTAAAAAATTGGAGTTATTCTAAGAAAGCATTCGAGGCCAAATCTTACAAGCTCCTGGCCTTTTCTGCTGGTGTAATGAGTGAAAAAACGAAAACCATCCTTTCCAAAGCCTTTCAGAAGAACAAAGCGCGCTGAAGGAATTCCGTCTCTGTAAAAAAATATGGGATTGATAACTTGTTTAGGGTGATATAAAGTTCCCTTAATTCGATTTCTTTTGGATTTCCGTACTTTGTGCAAGTAGCGAGACAAACGGCATTCGGTTCCACCGTTCGCGAGTCATTTCGTATAATTTCAAACCATTTCTGGAACAAGCTTATTGGCTCTTTTCTCTCCAGCTGGTCTTCCAGGAAAAGGTTGCTCTTACTGTTGTAATCATGTCTCATCCCTGGAAGAGTGTTGATTGAAATTGAGAGAGTGCAGTTTGAAGAAAGCTTTAAAAATATTCTTTTGCCCGCACATCAGTCAACCTTTGGCATATCAGAGACTATGACGTTATTTGCAAGCTTGGAATAAAATTGGGTATTTTCTTTGATAAGGAGAAGCTCTCACAAGCAATTTCTATTGGTAAAAGAGCAAAATTCTCGTTTTTAGCTGCCCCTTTTGTCTTCGTGACGCTGAAAGCAAAAGTGCGGCTTTAAACTCACCGCCGATGTCCATGCCGAAGACGCGTGCAGGAACGTTATGGCTTTTAGTTAATCGAACAAATGAGCTTGAAAGTCTCCTTATGTAGTACATAGGAAAAACACAGTAAAGCAGACAGAAAATTAATCATTTAACAGCTGATTTTTCAACGTTGCCGGTTATAGAACGATATTTTCTTATCAATTGTTCCAATATCTCGTCAAATTTGCTATCCACTTTTATAGAGATAAACGTATTTGTCTTTAACGTCGTTTAAAAGTATATCATCTTATGGTTTTTTTTTTCACTCCACGATTTGTTGGACTTTTTTAGATCAATTACTATCTGACCAAGCATTATGAAATTTCCAGTTCCGCAAAAATAACGTTTTATTTAGATATTTTTTGCAAAACAGCATTAAATCAGCTCAATCTTGAGATTCTTCTTTGATATTTCCTAACTGAAGCTTTTTCGAAGAGGCGCTGTGGCTCGTGATCAATTTAGCCTCGTCAATGTCGCCCTGAAATAATCCTCAAAGAACTCACAACGATTTGTCTCAACCACTCACGTATATCATTCGAGAGTAATCGTGTTCATCGGTGTCCGAACTATCTTCATCATCAGAATTCTCGGCCTTTTGAAGAGACAGCTTCACTTTTCGCATGCTCTTCAATGAAGACAAGCTTGAAGTGCGTACGGGTTTGTTGGAGAAACTGGTAAAAATGTCTTCGGGAACTGGAGGCAGGTTGATCACGTTGTTCAAATCGATCAACGACTCTCTTGATATGTTTTCCGGGTATTTTTCATTGATATCCATCTGGAAATTGGCTTTTACTAAAGGAAACAGGCGCTTTTTGTGTCCAGACTTTGGAGCTTCTGTTGCTGGACGGGTTTGGTTGTAAAACGTTTTCAGAAATCGGGGTTTTGGTGTCCATCGATCGTATTTTTTCAGCCAGTTGGTCCAAATTTAGTAGGTCGAAATCAGCTTCCATTTCTTCCACTCTTAGATCAAATGCGTTCAGTTCTCTAATTATAATCGCTGGGAATCAAGAGGGAATTATTTAAATTGTTCCCTAATATTTTGAATAATTAGTGTTAATTTTTAAGGCAGATAAGTTATTTTCAGGCGTTCCAAAGACTCATACGTTTTCCAATTTCTTTCTAATGTCGCAAGGTTTCGAAGCCAGTGATTATCGTACCGAATTGGTAAATAGTTAATATCATGCTAAAATATTTGCTTATGTAAGAAGTTACCTTGAAGATTGTTGTATTCATGTTTCATCTGATCGGAAATTTTTTCTTTGCAAATATTCGACTGCAGTAACTTCAGAGCTACGTTAAACGAAGATCTGGCGGTCACTGCTAGAGCGTCAACCCCTTTTTCTGCTCCTAAACCAAATTAAAATTAATCAAGCTTTGGTCGCAAATACAAGCAAGAACTGGTAAGTGTGGCACATTATCAAGTCAGCAATTCTCTCAGTTTTCGGTGCAATTTCATTGCTTCAGCTGGTCGCCTACCATTTATCAAGACCTTCAGGTAGTTGATGTACTTTTCTCCAGTTGTATAGCGTTCTTTAAGATCAAATGCCACTTCGGTCACTACCAAGGCCTGCCTCAAAAGCGCATTGTCAGCGAAATCGGCCTCAGCTTCCAAAATATCGACAGGAGACATAATTTTCCATTAGTGAGACAATCACTAACTAGTGATGCGAGTGATTGATGTCAGTTAATAAAGAACCACCAGGCAAAACGTATGAAAATTTAATGAATAATGAAATCAATGGTTCTGAAATGATGAATTTTTCGAAATTTGTTTCGATTACGTTATTGGAAACCGACCGTTTAAATTATTAAAAGAATCGGCTCCAAGCCATCTTGGATACTAACCGCAATTGCTTCTTCACATGCACGGAACTTCGTTATTTATACGTTTCGGTACCTAAATTGATAGTATTTCTTTTTTCTGGGTAGTAAAATAGCATTTCTTAGGGCTCCTAAATAATGAGAAGTATGTCGTAAACAAATTGGCTTTATTTCAAATTAAAAAAGGAACAAATCCTTTACAATATTTCTTATTAATTTACATTAAAAACAAAAATATCTTTGTACTTCAAGAATTCACATGTACAAAATTACTCTTTCTTAGACTTTTTGTCGTCTTCCTTCAAATGTAAGAATACAATGGAAAACACAAACACGCCGAACATCATCGAAAACGCGCCCGTATAGTAGGGGTAGGCGCAGTCGATAAACCGCTCGTATTGGGTATGCTCTAAAGGCCTCACACTCACCTAGAGCAACATATTAAAAATGTAAAAATAATGCTCACTTAGAGGAGGCTTAAAAAAAGCCTTACCTGGGTACTGCTGTATAATCGCGTGTATCCCACCCTGTCGTAGTCCACCTTGAATTGATACACTCCATACACGTCCGGAATCTTGAATTTAGCCTCATAAACACCATTTCCAGCTGCTTGCAGTCCGATCCGGACGAATGGGTCTATGCGAACAAATTCCAACTGAATATCGGTGGCATTAAACGGTTCCCAAACACGGTTGTTGTAAATTTCTATTTTGATTTTGTAGACCTGAAAATCCAACAAAAAAAATAGGTATATTCCGTAACTAACAGTTCAGAGTTCAATGGGCAAATGCATCTTACTGGACATTTACTTACCACATCGTCCAGAATGGTATAGTCATGAGGCGGCGCAGTTTCTCCAGCTTTGTGATGTTGTACCGAACTAACCCTTAGCCTGCCATGTTCCCTGAATACCCACTGGCTGATGCTGGTGGCTACTTTTTGATTAGAAGAATGCGTCTTCATAATCTTACCCTGCAATAACTTTCCGACTTCCCCTGTGAAATACTCATCAGAAAAGAAGGCCAGCGATCCGCTGAACACAACTCGAGCATTATTTCTCGCCTGCAGGCCAGCAATTAGCACCGTGTCTTTGCCAATGGCATGAGGATACTGGAAAGATCAACCCCATAAAATAAACAAGAATCACAACAATTGGGCGCAAATATACTTCTTTGATGGGCTGATCCGGTACATAGCTGTAAGCAGTGCTTGCAGCAGTTAGTATTGGCAAAACTAGCGGGTTTTCAGAGTCAGCCAAGAGGCCAGTTCCTTGATACAACAGAAATTCATCCTGAAGACGGCCGACAATTACAGGAGAACGTATGAGGTTGTCTGAGCTAATTCTCAGCTTGGTGTGCTGCCCTTCATCAGATATATCCGCGTTGAAGTGGTCAATTACAAAAGACCCTTCCTCATCGACCTGCAACCCCACAAAATACTTCAGCATGGAGAAACAGGACTAATAGTTGAACTAACCTCAAAGCCCACCTCTGAGGCGAGTTCTCTCAAGACATCTCCAGTGGCCTCACTGCCAGCTACCAGCACATTTCCTCCTTCATCAATAAATTCAGTGATAGTGTCGACGTTCAAACTGCCTCCGAATTCAATCACTGAAGGGGCGAAAATGATGAGGTTCTCATAAAGGTACTCCCCATACTTTGAGAGCACTAAGGAGGAATCGTCGGCTATTTTGAAGGTGAGGCTGTATCCTCGGTCTGGAAAAAAACGCAATGATTTTTTTCAAGTAGTTTTCAATTGATGACGACTTACCCTGCAGAGATTTGAAGAAAATTGAATGGGTTTCTTTAATCACCTGATTTTCGAGCAACACAAGCGTGTTTCCCTGCACTTTTACACTCGCAAAAAGGGCGAGAATTAAATAAATGAAGGGCTGCATAGCGATTTGTTTGAATTTCGCCGTACACGTCACCGGCAATATTTCCAACCACAATTCAATGTTTGTCAATAGTCAATGTCAGAAGTGACGTTAAGGAGTTCTAAGGGTTGCCAATTTGATTAGCTTTTAACAGTTATCGGGAAGTTGTGTTGAGTTCCTAATTTGTCCATCTTATATATTATACTTTTACCAACAACTTTTCTTAGTGGTGTTTCTTGGGGAATTGCTCTTTTAGGTGTTAGGCAAGCAAACAAAGACGGCATTTTTTATTCCCATATCGGATTCTCTAATGGGATTTTAAACTGACATTGAGAAAGCTCAGGTGAGTTTTATGGACTTTGTTCTTTAATTTCACATTTTTCATATAGAAAATTCCGCTACACATAACTAAAAAGGCTCAAGAAATATTGAAATTAATGAAGCCAAAGAGGAAGTTGCACGTCCACAGGACCGTGATACTCATTATGAGGAATATGATGCAAAAAGTCCAAATAGTTCTTTGGTAGTCCTGTTTCTTCAGCTCCCTTTACTATTGTCTTCCAATAAGCCACTGAAGGCCGATTATCCTGAGGTAGATCTCTAATATCCTGGACGTCTGGAGGAGACGCGGTTTGCTGGTAAGTTCTAGCGTTTATTTTTTCTCCGCTTGGAAGAACGATGTCCACTTGGAGAGGTCGATATACGTTTTCATGGACACCTTCCTGTCTGAAATTCATTGAAAGCCTTCGGCGTCATTGCCAAAGTGACACGAAAACATTCGTTAAGACGAAGTGGACAAAATGGACATTAACGAAGTTGACAAAACGTGAATCTGATCAAGGGTATTTTTGAATTCGGGAAAGATTTTTAATAAACAATTTACCGGTCCAAGTTTTCCAGATCAGCATTATCGACGTGCCAGAGGGCTCCCCAGACCACTTTGGAGTGCTTAGGTATGATAGTGGCGCTAGCGCCTTTCCATCGTTTAGAATAAGTAACAAAACTCACTTGGTAATCCTAAAAAATCGATTAGTAGCTTGTCATGGTGTTCAAGGGCTTTGCATACATGCAAACATCCAATTCCAGCCCTTTCTGCGCTGGGGTTGTTGATGTGAATCCTGTGACTGAGCAAATTGCTGCCGTAGGCAAAGTAAAGAAACTTGTTCGATTTACTTTGCACTGACATTGTTTCTAATCGAGTATGAAACTTCAACAAACACTGACTAAAGGTTGAAATATTCTCTGGTTTGCATGTCAGAAGCAGTGATTCTGCTCATTTAAGTCCTCAAAGCTGTGATGCAGAAGCGATTTATTTGCCATTGTTTGAAGCTTATCAGTTATCTTTAGAAGTTCAACATTTTTTTCTTTGAAGCATTCACCCATAGTGATAATCCCTTCGTAAATTTTGTCGAGGATTTGACCGATGAGATAAAAAAATGCATAATTGTAAATGTTAACAATATGCTCACCTTGTAGATACCCCCTTTACTAAAACTAGTTTTAGTAAGGTGTTCGTCAGGATCAAATTCAGGAATTTTGTAGAATTAATCTATAGTGGAGTCGCCTAAATATCGTAGTGTAATATTGATTCAATGCCGGTTTGGTAATTTTCTAGATGTTCCCCTTTTGGCTTTCGATATTAAAAAAGTTCACATTGTAGATTGGCCTTTTCCTACCACTTTTCTAAGTAAAATTTGAAGAAAATTAAAATAATATTTTGCTGCATTTAGTCCAGCGCCATTCGCGTTATTGAGCAGTAGAATAGCATCGGTTGTTTGCTCTGATACTAATGGGCTAAAGATGAGGGCTTGTAGCCATTTGTGTTAGTTTTGTGTAATTTGGGTTATCTCAATAGTAGTTAAATGGACGTTTTTAACTTGTTTCATTTCACTTTTTGTTACATTTTTGTGGAGATTTGCTATTTTGGTGCAGGCTGCGCAAAACTGTTAGGAACTATTAATTTCTGCGCGTGCAACGCCTGTTGCGCCACCTGTTGGTAGACGGAACTAAGATGACTTGCAATGCTATCCATATGAACGCTTTGGGCAGCGATTTTCTTCGCTGATAACGGCTTCCGCCACTTATTTTACCGAGATGTGCTTATAAAGGGATAAGATTAAATGTGAGTACTTTCTTATTGCTGAAAAATAAAAAAGGGGCAGATATAACTAATTACCGCCGTTTTTTTGTCAGACACATTTTTAAGTTTGTTTAAATTTAAGCTGGTTTTGCATGCTTTTACAGCAATAGCTAGCACGGGTTAATGTCTTCCAGAAAGCAACTGTCAAATCGCTTTCAAACATATTTATCTTAGTATTTCTTGAATAACCCTGTATGTTTACCAAAAAAAAACGTATCTCAAACTCTTTTCAAACTTGGTCCCAAAAAAACGCAGCGTTTTTTTTGACTTCGGTTTAAAATAAATTAAAATCAACAAATGTGTGACTAAAATGAGTTTTTCTCAAGCTGATCACTTTTATTAATTTTCCAAAAATTTTATGCATTCGGGTGAACTAAACCCCCGCCGAACAAATCCTCAGTCTCTTCCCAATTTAGAGCCAGATTCAGGTTTATCTACCCTCACAACTTCTTGAGCCACATTGAAATAGCCCAGATACTCCACAGTGTCTGGCGTTGTATCGTAGTGATAGTGACCAGCTTCTCCATGTGTGCTAAAGCTGTGGAAATGCTGCACTCGCAAATCTAAGTCCGCCTGAAAATCCCATAGAAGAAATCAGTTTGCTGGGTTTTTAGCGGCTCGTTACTTACCCCATCGTTACTCGTAAAAGTGCCGAGTGCTGTTAAAGGAGCTGACATTTCGTAGAATTTTAACCAGTTGTTGACGTCATCTTCACCTGAAAAAATCGAGATTTATATGTTTTTTTGGCTTGGAGGTTTTAGTCCCCGTACTTACTTGTTAAAGGGGTTTTAGAAAAGTCTCGCATTACGTGCTGTTTGGCCTTGCCTTCGGCTATCAGGAAGGCTCCTCCAATGCCCACCAACTGATCTTTGCCGTACTTTTCTTCAATTGCGTTCCTCAACGTTTCAATGAAGTTCTTCGCGCCTGTGCGTTTTTTTACGTGGACCTTTATCACCTAAAACAGTCGCAGTTTAAGACTTGGTGGCTTTTGCTAAAACTATCGTTTGCGTTACTTTGCCTGGTTTTCCTTCTGAGGCGAAAATGTTCCCCAACAAAGCAATTCTGGTCTCATTGTTCGGCAGAATTTGGACCACCATGTACTCATCAGCACCTTCGACTTTGGATGTTCTAGTCTGCTGGTCTGCCACCCCTTTTTCAATCTTAAGGTTTACAATTCCCTAAAATATTTCAAATGGGGTATTTATTACTTTTTTGAATTGGAAATTAGGTTGTAAGTACCAACATTTAAAAGTGTTTAAATTTAATAACAAACAAACAGCAACTCGATCCTTGCGTCTTGTTGCTCTTGCAGTTTTCATTGTATCGCTCAAGCTATTTTTTAATGTTAACAATAAGCGGGAAAACCAATCACTTTCTTCAGTTTCGTTATTAATTTGCCTCAATTGTGAAGTTTTTGGCGTTAACTGTGAGCGTTAAAGTGTGCTATTTAAAGTATGAAAGAAATACAAGAAAAAAATGAGGATCTCATACAAGATCTAAGCGATGGTGGTGAACATAAACCGTTGTTCGCCCCCATAATATTGCTTAGACATTTTTGGTACCAGAAAATAACACACGCATAAATCGTAAATAACACACGCATAAATTGAAATACTAACTTAAAATTTTGAAGATACCGCCAATCAAATCAATAATTTCCAAACTTCCATGAATTGTATCAATTTGACGAATGACGGACCGTAATAACATCACATTTCCCTCTCGCTCGGTGGACAAGTAATAGACAAAGAACGACAATTGAACAGACTACACATACCTCACAGTTTCCGCCAATGAATGGATGAGGCCCCGCCCCCGCTCCAATAAGAAAAGCCGGCTCCAGAGCTACAGACTTGGCAATGTCAAGTAGATCGTATAGTTTTTCTCTTGTGACCAATGGCAGAAGATACTGCGTGCCCCCAATTTCCAGGAGTTTGGCGTTGCCGTTTAAGCCTGGAAATTGCGGGGTTTTTCAGTTAGTAACTCGGTACTTGAAGGTGTAGTTTCAGTACCTCCAGCTGCCAGAAGAAAAGGCTTGCTGGTAAGGTCCGGACACTCTACCACTGATACGTTAACCTCCTGGAAGTTTGTTGGCAAATACGATCTGAAAACTGAAGAGATTTTTCAGTTGGTGGCTTTTAGGTGGGTTTAAGTAAACGTTTACCTTCGGCCACTTCAGTTAGTGGAGGTTGATATAGCGATTTGGTGTGGATCGGGTAGGAGTTCGGGACTAAAGCCATGGTGCTAAACCTGAAATTTTGATGAGTTTAAGTAAACTCTCCACATTAATAGCGAGTGTTGAAGTTGATAATTAAATCATAAAATACCCCATAGTTTCAATTCGCTTCTACTGTGACAAAAGTTGAAAGACTAGTTTTTCATTTTATGTGTTTTTGAATACATTTTACTGTAGAACCAGGTTAGTTTTGAAGAAAAAATAGTAATTTCTCTAATGCCATGAACAAACGCACAGTATATTTTTTAATGAAAATTACCACCTTATTGTGCTTGAACTAAGCAATACAAGAATCAAGTTGTTGATGGACTGAGACGGCTTGTGCTGCATAATGTAGCAAGAAAACAACTGTTTCAAACTAGTTTGCTACTCAAGTTACCTTGATCTAAGCTGAAAGCTTGTAAACAAAATGTGTGAGGTTACCTGTAAACTTGAATGCCGACTAATAAATGAAACGCTTGACGAGCTTGCTTAAAATCATACACTAAAGTACTAATTGTGTGAATAAACTGAGATAATTGCAATGGAAAGTCTTGGCACTAATCTGTTCATGATAAGTCGGGTCAATGCGGTTGTCGTAAATGTTTTTTAACCTTGAAAATACACAATAATAAAAAATTTCAAGTTGATTTTCGGTTTTCTCATAACATACTTTTGAAAGTCGCATTTCGAAAACCACTTAATTATGCACGAAAATAAGRTTGTCCGGTGCTATTTGCTRCTAAATCGTGTTTTAGGAATATTAACAATTCATAACTCCACATGCAAAAGTGTCGCTAATAATAGTTSTGTTTTTCGCAAAAGTTTGAGCATCTTTTCTAACATTGCCAATWGWTTGATCGCGAATTATTTCTTTCTTTCGGTAATTCAAAGCAATGCGGAGCGTTTTTTCCTTTCTGTCAATTTTGAGTTAGTTTGTTTGTGTTAGCAGGGTTRAAGTAATTTTTTAATGAAACTAAAAATATATGTWTACAAAAAGTAAAAGTTAATAACCTGAAACGACCTAAATAATCGAAACCTACCCAAATTGAATGAATTTGCATGCTAGGTATTCAAGGACACAACTTTCTTGAACTTAATGATTTTTGCGCAGTTTGACAACGCCTCTCGAAATTTAGACTGAAGATGGTGATTTTGCTCAAACTTTGTGAATGTTTTTTTGGCTTAATGGACTATCCAGAAATTCTTTTCGCTAAAATTGCTTAATTTAAAGTATCATTTAGGATAAAGCAAGAAAAAGCTAAAAATTCGGAGGGACTCAAGCGTCCCGACCACCCACCATTCTTTTAAGTGCAGCAGTTTATTCATATCACGATTATCAAAAACATGAGAAATTGCCGTATTTACAAGTTCACTTTCCCTTACTATAATTTTACTACCAGATATTCCCCTCATTTGCGGTGTTGTCATGATTAAATGCGGCGTCGGTGTTAAATTCTTATAAATTTTGTAATTTAAAGGTTCGACGCTGTTATTTTAATGACATTTACTTGTCGCTTATTACAAACTAACAAAATAAATGCCAAATGGTACTCTGGTGTTAGGGATGGTCGGTATTTAACGTAACCGCTATAAAAAAAACTGATCCAGACGTGGAACCTGTAACCGCAGTTCTACTTTGTCAATTTAACCGGTTGTTTTGGAAACTGCAACTATTTCTACCATCATTTTTAATAAAATATTTAAAAAGTAACATGTTACTTATAAAACCGCATTTTGGAACCGAATACCAGAGTAAACTGCAACGTTGTTCCAGAAAAAAACCGATGAGCCTTGAGCACACCTCTATCTGGAGCCTAATTTACGAATCTGGGGGACGGCGTTCTCACGAGGAATTAGGGCGTAGTTCTCTCGCAAAGCGATTATTCGCATTCTCGAACTGATACCATTAATCTTGGTTCTCATGGGTCCGGATTGCTTTGCGGAAGCGGAGTGCGAAAAGTGCGCGCGCAGCCTACTACTACGCGCGGAAAAATTTGCGCAGTTTGCATGAATCCGGATTATTTTTTGCATTCCGCTGACAGTGTTGGCATATCTTTCGGGCAGGGAGACACGATACAACTCTTTTTTCTACATTTTTTCTTGCCAATATTTTGAGGCGGATGAAATGAACGTTCGCAACCAAAAGTTAAATCTGCTTTTGTCTTTGTACGTTCTAAAAAGAAGGAAACAAAGACATCAAAATGAAAGAAGGTCGAATAGACGCCGCTGAACATAACCTTTCACTGGAGATAACCTAGGTTTTCACATTCTTCCGCACACCATGCGGAACATATTAAAATTTGGAAACTTCTGCGGATAGGTGGAGCTAACGCATCCGGCAAGCTTCTGATTGGTCGGAAGGTTTTCCGCATCCGCATTCCGGACTCATGAGAAGCCGGCTTTACGCAACGGCCGTAGAACCAGCTTCTGCCAATTCTTGAGAGAACGCATCAGACAAATAATAATTAACAAGTTATCCTGTGTCTCTGGAACGCATCGTTCACCTGTTTTATGACCGCACTTTGAACACAATCAGTTGGAACCAGAGTTGGAACTGTGGGTTTAGGTTCACGTCTGCAACACTGTTATTTTAGCGGTTACGTTAAATAGCGACCATCCCTAGTAGTTAGTTTATAGTTTAGCCGTCAGTGGACGTTTGGACTTTATAATTCGCGTATAACGCGCAGCCGCAGCGTCTTTCATGTGCCGGGCTTTCTTTTGTGTTGTCATTTTGAGGATGCGTTGCATTTTTCGGTAAAGGTATGAATTTCTGTAGGTTTTCTATATATAAAATAGTGTGTGAAGTGTTTCTAGTATTTTCACCCTTCGATGAAGCCCAGCAAAGTATTTGTGGCCCCAAAAAAGTGCCCCCAAAATGTGCTGGTGTTTACTCAACGTAACCATAAACATTTTTGGGGCGTTATTCTCACATTCCGATCAATAATCCGCTTGGTTTTTCTTTGCAGGTAAATAAGGATGTCTCGCTATAACTCGGACTGCAAGGTATACGTGGGCGACTTGGGCAACAGTGCCTCAAAACAAGAAATTGAAGATGCCTTTCGTCACTACGGCCCCTTGAGAAATGTATGGGTGGCTAGGAATCCGCCCGGTTTCGCTTTTGTTGAATTCGAGGATCCGAGAGATGCCGAGGACGCGGTCAGAGGCCTAGGTAGATTTCTACTATAATTTTAACTACATATCTGATGATTGTGGTTTAGATGGAAGAAGCATTTGTGGTCGACGTGCCAGAGTAGAGATGTCGAATGGAAAAGCGGGCAGCAATCGTAGCAGAGGACCGCCGCCCCGATCAAGAGGTCGTCCGTTTCATCCAGATGATCGGTGCTATGAGTGTGGAGACCGCGGTCACTACGCAAGGGACTGTGGAAAGTACCGAAGAGGAGGACGTCGTGATAGGTAAGCTTTACTTAAGGCTTTGCTTATTAATTGACTTATTATTTCCTTTTGTTTGCTGGGAGGCTGATCAGTGTCTGCGGGACTATCAAGGGAGGTTTTCACAGTCGCTTCAATTGAAGGTTTTCTGTTTTAAATGCCACTTTTCACCCTCATACTGGATGGATTGTTTGTTGCTCTTGCACTTTTCAATTTGAAAATGTTAACAATTATGCGTCCACAAGCACCGTTTCAAGTTGTTTCGTATCAGAACACCCCGGACACATCGGTGCAAATGAGCCCAGTGAAGTTTTCCAGCTTGCTATTAACTGTTATGGGCAGCTGCATTCTTCTGCAGTCATTTTTCCTAACATTTTGTGGAAAGTAGCCTGTCTTCACTTTATTTTCCATTTTTTCCTTGGAGGCCGTGCCCTTTAATAATAGTTTTTTATTCACAAAGGGGAGATTAGGTATTAAAATCAGTGCCTTGATGAATGTGTTGAAAACTGAAACAATTTTTTCTTTTGTTTATTTTAGCTACTTAAATTATTTGTATATCGAAGTATTCGAATTGTTTCGTTTTGATCGGCTTACATTGATAAAGTCGTGTGTTAGTGATATTGATGAACAAATGATTGGTTTGGGTCTCGAGCATTGATCAGCCCCCACATACTGAAACCGATTTTATTTGCTGTACAACATTATTTTTTTAACAACCAGCATATTTTATGTTGTTAGTGATTATGATTTGTTTAACGTGTTGTACAGCATAATCGATAACACCCAAGACGTTATTTAAACACAACCAGGAAAAGCTCGGCCTGACAATAATGCCATGTTTATAGGTTGATAGCATGTGGCGGATGAAAGTCAGGTAACGAACGCATTGAGTACACTCGCTTCGATCTTCTCGTTGTAACAGACTACGTAGAGCCGCCACAGCGTTTGCTTTGTTCAGAGTCACTTCGACACGTTATTCAAAATGTTCAAGTCTGACCACAACTAGTCTACTACTCCAACTACTACTGTGAGCCAGTGAGATTTTGCCCCCTAGTCTCCAATCATCCCTTCTACCTAGTCGAAATATCTACTATCGTCACACGACCAAGTCTCACGAGCTCACAATCTGAAATGGTAAAAATTTAACAATTTTTAGTTTATTTTAATCAAATTGGTACTACTAAAATTGTACACCTCAATTGATTATAAAGACTAGGTTCCAAATAGGTGAGTCGCGACTTAGAAAACCCGTTTTGCCATTAACGGCACTTTGACAAAGTTTATTGCAAAATCGGGCATTTCACAACTCAACATTAATTTATAATAATACACACTTAGTCCATGAATTCTGTTACTCATACAGTGGCATTTCATTTAAAAGTACTGTTGTAACTATTTTTCATGAGTCAGTGCTGATTTTCGGAAACGCATCTAGCATTTTGATAGTTTGTGCAAACTAAATTTCGGATAATCATGTCGAACTGTGTATTCCAATTAAGCGAGCAAACTTGTAAACTTTAGCGTATGCTTTATTTATGAGCCCTACTTAAAGAGTAGATAACGACTATTATTTGAATATTTTTGCCATTGCGGCATTCGCCCATTTGGGCGTGGTTAAGGCAAAAATGGGCTTTCGATGAAAATGCTGATTTTCTGGCAATTTTAATAATTTTTGGTCAGTTTTTTTTAAGTTTAGTTTTTATTTTAATTTAATTTTGCATTATCAAACTATCTTATCATGAGCTTTAGGTATGTGTTCTTTCGAGTAGCAGCAAAAGCGAATTATTTGCGATTATTTATTTGTTTGAAACACTTTTAGTTTGAATTTTAAAAGTTTATTAAATTTAAATTCTATTATTTCCGTCTGTAGCTAACGTCAGTAAGCATCTACCTGTACGAAGCGGTCATATCTGAATTACTGGGTGACTGTGAGAAACAACTTAAAGCTTTTATTTGGGGAATAATTCATGTTTCATCTTTACTAGTATTGAAACTTCCGCAGTTTTTTCATCATGTTTGAGCATTGGACTGTTCATAAAGTTTGCTTAACACAACCTCATTATCTCCATGTCTCCAAATTAACAATCATTGTACTTGTCCCACGTTGGGTGTATAATTGGAAACTAATGTTTTTCCGATTTTTAAAATTTTCGTAGAACTCGAAGCAGATCCAGAAGTCGTTCTCGCGATCGAAGAACTCGCTCCAGAAGCAATTCGCGCTCACGCAGCAGGTCCAGGTCGCGTAGATCCCGATCAGCTTCTAAGAAGAGTAGAAGCCGCTCCCGATCCAACAGGGATGATCGGCGATCCAGGTCGCGCTCTCACTCCAGGAGCAGGTCGGCCGTGAAGGAGAATGGGAATGGTAGAGATTAAACGCTGAAGGCAAATAATTGCTGATGCACGTTTCTTGTTTAGTTTTACTGTTCGTTTTTGACCAAGTGGGATCGTTTCCACGATCTAGGCGGTTAAATTTTAAGTGGGCTTAAATTAGCCCAAGCTTGTCTTGCATCAGCAAATAATGTCTTCAACCAGGTATTTGAGAAACGTAGGTTCTCCCGAATCGAAGCTCAGACATTTTCTGTTAGTTTCGATTCATTGGAAATAACTGTTCAGTTTACAATGACCTGTACGAAACAAATCCATTATCCCAGTGCAATTTTTTTTATTTCGGAAAAACCTGAAATTGGCAATTTTTCGGATTGCTGGTGGATTTCGTACTAAAGCACGGGGGTCGGAACAGGTTCCTGGTGTAAATCCGGTAAATATTGTTTCAATAGTAGACAATTTAGCGGTTCGATTTGAGTCATTGTTTTTTGTGCTTGAAAGCCCGCGAATAGCGCCGTGAATTCACGGGGCGATTTGCGCGCTTTTCTCATTTATAATCCAGACATGTACAGCTTTGTACCTGTCGGTTAAAGAAAATCCTGCAGTGGTTTCTTTCAGGCCATTTTGCTATTAATAGTTACTTGGCATTCAGACCAGTAAAACACATAATTGGAGTAAGTTTATAATATAAACTGTTGTGGTCACCCACGAAAGATTACAGGCAGAAGTATAATTTTCGATTACTTTCCATAGAGACAAAGTGGTCTGTGGTTGCAAACAGGTATGGAGTTATATAAGAGAATATGGGTCGGCGAGGCCTTTCAGAAAATTACCTGCAAGAAACTACCTGACAGCATAGAAGGTTCAGAGGAAAATAACTTGTTAAGGGCTGTATGTGACAATGATGATTTGGAAGCTGGGCCTGAAGAAGGGTTGGCTGCAGAGGCATTTATACGAGTGCAAGATGATAGTGGTGCAATGGATACGGCGTATTGTGAATGCTCGTTAAATGAAGTTAAAACAATTCAAGGAACGCGTGGTGATTTAAGAATGAGCGTTAAAAATAAAACTTATGCGTTGCTTTGGCTGTAATCAGCAAATAAAAGTAGTTTTTAAAATTAACGTATCTTTATTTATACTAAAAACGTATAAAGTTCCCTTATTTATATACAATTGATTATTAAATACATATGGTAAAAGACCCAAAACAGTGTCAAACAACAAATCCTTAATCAATGTTATTTACATTCTTAGGTATCTAATCCTGTGCGGTAAGAACTGCGTACATTTGATCTATAAATACATATCCGACCCTTATAATTTTAAGTTACGTGCAATTCATAAAACTGACTTAGTAATTAGGTTTTATTCCCGCATGTTTGTGATGTGTTAGATGATTCTACGCACTCGCTTCAACTTTGTAGACCCCGATTGGGGTAGCGGAGTGTCAAGATCCCTGCTCAAAACCCCCGGATGTGTTTCAGGACTGTGGAAGAGCACGTTAACGTTCAAAGGAGGCAAATCGCCCTGGAAAGGTACAGACTGAGGATGGGTTTTGAGTAGTTCGGCCGCCTTAGAGCCGCGTTCCAACATGGACTTTTCGAACGGTTTTGCAGTGAGGCTGGCGCCGGACACTCGTTTGCCATCGAAAGTTACCACTACGTGAGGAGGAGAATCTAGTTTGGAAGAATTGTTCTTAGTCGGAGGCGCTGGCGCTTCGAAATCAATTTCTGAAGGCATTTTTCCTGCCGGATTACTTGGGATTTTGCTGGCTCCTGGCGGAGGCAAGTAGAACGACTCTACGTGCTCAGAAGCAGCCATTTCCTGTTCCCTGTCCGATTTTCCGGTGCTTCGAATCGATAATTTTCTGCGCGAGTGCCTCAAGCCTAGGAAAGTGTGATCTCCCCTCTCAGGGTTTACTTGGGGTACAAATCTCTGGTCATCAAACCCACTTTCTTGCTTGGTTCCCCTGTGGGTGGACGCCCCGAAGTGGTCAGTCCCCTCCAAAGATGCGCTCATTTCAAAGGGGGCTTCAGCAGTTTGGATTTCAGGATCTCGTTCTGTTGATGCTTGCATGGGGGAAATGTCCACATTTTTAACCTGGACATTTTTCGGTGCTTTTGGGAGAATTGCGTAAGTGTTGGTGGTGTGAAGTGTTTGTTGTTTGTCAACCGGCCTCTTGTATATCAGATAGGAGCGTTGGATGTTTGGCATTTGCTTAAGTCTTGTAGGTGTAGTCAAGTTCAACACGGACAGTCTTGTCTGAGCATGTTTGAAGTCATTGTCGGGTCTGATAATGAGCGGATGTTGCTTCTGTGTTAGTAATTGTTGGTGGCCGGTGGGTGTTGGTGATGGGTCTAGTGTGGTGATGGAAAGTTCTGAAATTGCAGGTTGAATCCGGTTATGGGGCGCGACTAAAATTTCATTGGGCATTACCACGCTTTCCTGTCGAATGCTCGCTTCCGGCTCCAAGTCGGACTGTGCTTCCGATGGCTTCACAATGGTCGGTTGCAGTTCGCTGGCTGCCACTGCTTGTTCGCAACTATCGTGGACATTTATTTTCCACCCCAAGTGTCGATGGGTGAAACACTGTAATTGTGAAGAAGCGCCTATTAGAATTGAAGGTCTGGGCGCATTTTATGTGTCTTAATAATATTTCAAGTGAGGAAGCAAAACCCAATAGAATGGTAAACAGTTCTTGAAGTTTTACTGCCATCCCAAGTTTTGAAAAAGTGGATAAAGTTGAGCGCATTGGATTGAGTGAGCGAGTTATTTCAATTAGGGCTCGGAATTTTAAAAAATCTGAAATTCGTTTAGTGGTTTATTCGAATAGTAAAATTATTCGAATACTCGAATATCTAACGAATATTCAAATAATCGAGTATTCGAGTATTTGAATATTCGTTAGATATTCGAGTGTTCGTTTTCCGTTCACCGTTTTCCAAGAAGAAAAATCGTTATCTCATATCATTTTTGGCAACTAGACGCAACGGACAAAAAGTGTTATTTTCGGCACATTAATTGTAACACCGCGCAAAAGTTGATGACGCGAATCACCAGAACACAGAGACGTAATTTTATATTCATTTGCAGAAGAGTAAATATGATTATTTTCACGTGCTTGTAAATATACGGGTATTTGTTTAAATCCTTATAGAATATGAATCATTTATTTTCTAAAAGTATACAAAGTGCATATAAAGATATTTGCACCTTGTGAGGTTGATAATGTTGGTGTATTCAAGTATTCGGATATTCGAATAATCGAGTTATGACTACACATAATTATTCGCTTTTTGGATATTCGAATACTCGAATTAGTCGAGTTTGATTCCGAGCCCTAATTTCAATGAAATGGTGTTTTCATAAAAAGTTCGTCTGTTTGCGGGTTTGAGTTGAGATATTGGCCGTATAAAGGTCGCTATTGTGTAAAATGGGCCAATATTTTCAGATGAGAAGTTTCTAATTTGTTATCCAATAAGATCTCTGCATTCCTCGTAGCCTTGCGATGAAAATTGTATAAAATTGAAGCATTTTTTCGTCAAAAATCAGCATAACTTAGTTTTTTGTAATATCGGCAGAGTGCTCAGTTGAATTTAAATAAAGCTTGCTGTGGATTTGATCCGGAAAACCAAAAATTGGTCAATGGCCCGGAAACAGAAAAATTCTGTTTGCGCAAAAACTTTGAATGCTTCAAGATTTGACAAAATGCACAAAAATGTTAAAATTGTTTGGTGCATCAAATGTAAAAAAATAGTTGATATTTTTTGATGCGATGCGATAAAAAGTTCTGGTAGTTTTTGGACCAAGACACTCATCAATTTCTCACTTGTCCAAAGGGGAACTGAACTGCTCTTGGTTGCTTCATCAAAACATGAATCTTATATAGGAAGAAATTTCCAAGGAGTTTTATTAAAATTCATCGTAACATTCCCGCGATATTTAAAAAAACATAATTTTTTTGAGGAAATTTGATCATCAATAGCAGGCGAACCAGACAATTTTTCTTATTAAAAGTTAGGTCAGATCTTCTTTTGAGCTAATGAATATCGCAGTAGCTCTTGGATCATGTGCTTACGAGACACCCTGTATATTCGAATCTACAAAAAGGAAAGAAATCGTCCGTTGAATATTAAAATCTTTCAAATACCGCTAATATTTATCAATTTTTCCGTAAGTGTGTATATAAAATTGTACACTCGGCAACAGAGCCCGCTTAGTCTAATTTTGTACTGCTGCCGTCTATCGGTGTATTGTTCAATTACAAATTGATTAATTTCCTCTTGGTGGCTCTTCTTTGATCATTAGTTTTACATTTGTATCAAGTGAGTTTAAGCATGAACCATCCAAGGTGATGAAAGGTTGATTCTATTACCAGAAAAAGCAATGAGGCAGTAAATATCATAGAAAACTGCATCGATCGGCGGTTCCATGATCTTCTTGACCGGCTGTCGCTACAAAATGGCGAAATGTCATCAATGGCTCAATCCCGATTTTAATTTTTTCCAAAAAATCGCGTATTCTAGTTATTCTCCGTCCAAGAATGCGTTAAAATTGCTTAATAAAGCCCATATAATCGAGTGATCAACACGAGAGCGCCCGTTTTGAGTTGAACGCACCATAAACCCCTTTGGAGTGAAACGTAAGAACCTAAGATTGTTGATTACATTTGAATTTTTCTCATAAATAGCACCAAACCATCGACCACTTTACTATACACTGTTTCTCTTTTCGCATTTATTGCTTACCTGATAGTAAACTGTATCTGGAGTATTCCGGTCGGGAGTCCAGGTGACTATTCCGGGCTCGCCGACGTCACATTTTAGTTGCAAAGTGCGCTGATATGCTCCAAATGAGTCAAAATCATCCGCATCACTGTCCCCGCTGTGGGTCCAATGGCACAATCGGCCCACTCCCACAGGAATCGGTTCCCCTGCTTTATCAAAGCGCACACCAGCAAGGATAGAAATGTTCTGAAACGTCGATAACAAGCTATCACTTTACATCAATTTTCTGCAGGCATTGGCTTCGAAAATAGGAGCCCTAACTTACCTTTCTTTCTTCAGGCGTCTTATAGGCGTATCCGCCCACGGGATCATCCGTAATATAGAAGGGATGATATTTGGCTGAAACCTCTGGGTTGTCGCCTCCCTCGGTGATAAAGTTGTAGGTTTTTCCTCTCACCACGTTAATTTCCGGGATGAGCAGTCCGTTGATGTACCACGAAATGCCCCAACCGACGTGACCTAAAATGCATCAATAAATCAGAATTTTTCTGGGGAAATTGTAAAAAACCTACCGGTAATGGCAGGATAACCGCGCTTGCCCCCGGTGGGGCCCATTTGAGCGTAGAAAACTCCATCTTCAGGCTCATAGCACTCGATTGGGGGGATATACCAAGCGTTGCGCTCTTTCACGGGAGTAGGAGGCGGGACAGTTTGAGTGCCTCTTTGGCTTATTTTGTTGCTGGTGCCTCTCGTGCGAGTGGACTCGCGCTTTGAAGCTTGTCCTAGAGAAAAATGCCGGTTGTGTTAATAAAGGCCGCATTAAACTTGTCTGGGAACTAGGCACCTTCTTCGGCGATTTCTGCATGAGTCTCCGGCTGTCTTGTAGATATTCGGTTGCTTCCTCTTCTACGGTTTCCTACAGTTGAAAAAATCACAATAGTTAGAGGAAACCACATTTTTAATTAAGCACCAGGTGTTTTGTTTTCCACACTTTATAGGGTATTTCTGTAATTGTTGTCTGTGCTATCAAAAAGGAAGTATAGGTGTTACGTGCTCCTTTTAGGTCGAAGTTAAAATGGTAGATTCAAATTTTTTACATTTTCGCTTGCTTGAGAGATAGGGGAAATTTTTAAAAATGTGATTCTCAAAAGTGACTATACTACTTTTTTGATAGCACTAACAGTTACGTAAATTCCCCGTAAAAGTGTAGAAAATGGGATACCGTGGACACATTCTACCAACCTCCTTCCCGTCTTGTTGGTGCTGAAGTTGTGGTTGATGCCACAACGGCTACGGCCTCAGTAGTAACAGCCTTCAACGGTTCCACATGCTTGGCCGCAGTTTCTCCCTCCGGAAGGGGACAGTTCCACTTGGCGGGCCGGGCAAAATCGATAAAACTGTCATCTAAAACGATAATCAGATGTTTTCTTTGGTCTTCCCTTGATTATCTACCTACGCTTCAAGTAGCTGCTATGAAAAGAGACTTCGTCCCTCTGATTCAATGGACCAACAGCCCAAATGATGGCTTGCGATTGGTTGGTTAGGATGGGCAAGTCGAACTGATCCGAAGCCTTCAGCGGTCTTTGGAAAGTTACTATGGAATAACCGTTCACCATGGCAGCGTTCAGAAGCCTGATATTGTTGGAGTTTTCCTGCAATATTCCCGATTTGTTATAATAAATGCCCAGATTTTTTCAAATTTTCTGGGGCTTACAGCAAGTTTGCTGTCCGGACAGGAACCGGTAGGTCCAGAGCATTGGGACTTATCGCCTAAGTAGTAGTCATAGGCGTATCCTTTGAGAGTTTCCTTGTCCACCCAAGCCACTACAACATCTCCCCCGATCATCACGCTATTGGCCACTTCCCCAGACAATCCAAAGGACATATACTCTCGCTCCTCTAAATTTAAAAAGTTGAAAAATTAGCGTTGGTTTACAATTACGACCTCGAACTGTTAACATTAGATTGCCATTTACCCGAAGAATCAACAACACCGGATAGTTCAAGGCGTTTTACCATCAGCAATTAGACTTTATTTGGAATAATTAATTGGCCAACCAGGGGTAATATTTACCTAATTTAGCCACCATTTGAAGGACGATGCTTTCTCCGGCCACAGCCCAGCGCACTTCAAAGGCCAGCTCGTCATCCAAGACTTCGCAATTCAGTTTGGACTAAAATCCAAAAAACGACTTGATTATCACGGGAAAGTAATTGACTGTATTTAATTAATTATGTATTGAATACAAAACAGTGAATATGAAATTGAAATCGACAATTTCAAATCGTCATTTTGTTAGTATTTTAATTGCTCAGCTTTCCAGATTTCCGCGTATAATGTGCACATTTCGGGCTTTATTTATAGGCTGAAGTCGCAAAACAAGGCTGGATGTACCGCATCGCTTGAAGCCTAAACAACTCATCATCATTCCCGTGAACATCTGCATCAGAACACGAGACCTCGTTGAAAACTTTGGCTGTTCCCACATCCAACAATCAGGTAACGAGATCAATTATTTGGGGTTGCATTGTCACCTTTCTGAGTGAATTATCAGATTCGGATCTGCTCGTTCATCAATCATGGGCGCCAATTAGCGTATTCGTACACGTAATGTCTTTTAAAGGGATAAATTAAACATCAATAGATCATGGCGGTAACCAGCGAGGTGTAGATAGGTCTTTGACGATTAAATTGCATGTCGGGAATTTATGGGCCCAATAGGATCCGTGCTGTTAAGTGATTTATAACTCGTGTTTATCCACGAGATCGTAGGAAATCCGAGATGAATATCGTCTTGGCGTAATCCTTTGCCAGTGGATATTCAAAGCACAAAGGCATTTTCAAGGAGATGGAATGAGGGAAATGCTTCTTGTGTTAATTTTCTATTTCGTTTCGGTGTTCGGCGAGACTTGCATGGTTTAGGCTTTGCAAGCTTGTTTTAGTTCGGAATGTCGACGAAAGCCAACTGTATAATGAAAATGTTTGCACAGGGTGGTCCACCTTATTCATGACTATCTTACGAGGAAACGAACTTTTCAATATCACTTTTATTTACATATAAAGTACCTCCTAACAAGTTAAGTGTCCGATTTATATATTTTTATACTTTGCAAATTTGTCTTCGTTTATACTCCATGGATTGTAGGCAATAGTGGTAGGAAAAAATAACTATTCGTTACTCGAGTACACCTTACTCAGAAGAATCAGAAATCAGAAGTAACGAATACTGAGCTAAACTATTCTTCTGACTGTTTAGAGCAATTTGGTGTCTGAAACGTTATTGAGCCCCATTTGATTTTTGTTAGTCAGTGTTTTGTTAAAAATTAAGCACCTCAGATAAAATTTCTACAGGGTGGAAAATGAAAAAATGCAAAATTTGACAAAGTTCGATATGCTCCGAGTTGACCAAAAAAGTAACTTTAGATCTCAACACCAAAGGTTTAAAGAGAAACCAAATAGCTCGTCTCCAAAAATAAACTTTTTGGTTTAGCAGCGATAACTTTTCTGCTCTTTGTCCGAGTTTGCCGGTCTTTAGCTGATGTTCAAGCTTAAACTTCATTAGCACGAAAAATTCCCGAAATCAGAATTGCCCCCGATACTGAATTATTATTTTCTCAAGTGCATTGTGAAGTTTTATCTGCAAGAGAAACCCTATATTTTGAAAATGGGTCCAAGAGAAAAAAATTACACTGCAAGACCAAAAAGTTGAATTTTTAAAGCCCACTTGCAAATAAGCGAGATGAGCGAAAAATTCAAAAACGGCTTTCGAGAAATGAAGTCTCTAATGAAGTTTCTAAATATCTTAATGCTTGTGGCGTTGGAATTCAAAAAATGTTCTTTTTCCCCAACTGAGAACCCGCGCAACTTTCTCCAATTTTGCATTGTTTCGTTGGTCAGCGTGTAGAAACGTTATCTGACTCACTTGTTTTTTGCAAAACCAAGCACTAACCGGAAAAGAATTGCACTAAATAACGCTTCAAACAGAAATGAATTCGCTCTAAGAACTTCAGCTTAAAATTATTTTGACAACTCACTTCAAATTATTATGTTTTTCGTTTAAACAACATGTAATGAATAGTATAATAATAATTCCAAGTCAGTGGTTAATTTAATAGAAGCAAAATCAAATTTTGATAGAAGTACAGATAGAATGGAGTATAAAAGTAATAAAATCTACTAAAATACTAAGTAAGTCATGTAATCAACTACGTAGGTTTGCGTTTGATTGGACTAACGACTGAAACGAGTACTTGAGTAACGGATCCGAAGTAACGAGTCGTTTCGAGTATTCAAAAGTAACCGAATCTCACACCACTAGTAGACAATGTTTTCTAGCCTGCACTAATTTTGTATCAACAATGATTGAAACCGCTTTAGGTGAAGATTCAACATTATTTCGACCTTTTGTAGGTAATAAAACTGGCTGTTTATATGAAAATAAAGCTTTTAATATTGTAAATAAACGTGTAGAAATATTTACAGAATATAAAATAAGAGTAAAATAAGGAAATTGAAAAAGACTGGCCTCGGCGCTTTGACTTAGAGTAAAGGATTTACAAAAAATAGATCACAGAATATTACTAACGAATAGCCTCAAAATTGTAAGTAAACATAAAGTATTAGTAAACATATGTACAAGTAAAATATATTAAAATGCCTCATTCGAAGGAAAATAGAGAGCGTCTGGCAAGAGTCTGAATAAACTTTGTAAACGTAACAATTTGATTAAAGCACAAGCGTATGAGTATGATAGGCTAAAAGGAGGATGAAAATCGCATATTCGGTCGGAGTCAGCGTTTGATGGGACTTTCCTAAAAAATTAATCAGCAGCAGTTTCCCAGTTAATTCCCTCCTAATAGCCCGCAGGCTTCCAGATGAAGTACCAATAAATAATAATATCTAATGGAAACGAGCAATCCTATCCATAATGAACAAAGTTCTGGATCTGGTGTTGATTGGGCGCCGGTTGCAAATCAAATCGGTTTCGTGGCTTAGGGAATTGAGCGGCAAACTGTTGCTGATTGAACTGCAACTCCTCCTGTTGCCGATTGTAGTCCGCCTGCTCAGCAAACTGTCTTTGTTGCAAGTTAAAGGGCTGATAGGCCACTGCCCGTCCATTGGACGGCTGATACTGCCCGATAAATTGCTGTAGAAAGGGCGACGCTGTTTGCTGCACATACTGCTGGTACTGCGGTTGAATGGGTACGTAGGATTGTTGTAGATGCGTATATTGGGGCTCGATAACTCGTTCGTGACGCCGTTGAAAATTGACGTGGGGCGGACGGAACGTGGTGGCCTGCAAGTGTCCCCCAATTTGAGACGGTGGCAACTCTCTCGCGTTGTCTGGAACCGGTAACTGAAGCCGTTTCTGGAACAACACAGAGAGAGGAATTAGCTCTCTCAGTTGGAGGACACTTGCACTTGGCACAGTTCTGATCAGTGGGCCATTTTACGCACCGAGCGCTGATTAGGGCTTACCTGCGGGCTGACGCCGAGCATCTTTAGGGAGGGCGGCACGTTCACACTTTGCGGTATCTGGATGTGACCAAAGTCCACGGTAAACTGCTCGCACCATATGCCAAAGTGGCCGATGTCGAAGACGGTTAAATCGCCTGGAAGGGTGAGTACCACCGTTTTGCCATCATAGCGCCGCAAGGGCAGCTCTTTGCCGTTTTCGTCTGCAATTCGGATCCCTTGAGGTGACGGTTTGGGGCCTCTGCCTGCCCAGAACTTCGCATCTAAACAGGCGGAAACTCTTGATTAATCTCTCATAATCTCTTGATATCTCATAATCATATCTCTTGATTGAAATATGATTTTTGTTTTGGCCCCGACCTCAGGTTTTAAATACGTTTCAAGCTTTAACAATGTAACTGTTGATAAAAGAAACTTTTTATACAGGGTGTCTTGTGGCTTTTTTTTAACAAATTGTCCGGCGTTGGCAGTTATCGCCTGCAAAAGTTCGTTTAAATGTCCAGTTGGCAACAGTTATAAATTCGATTTTCTAAGCCAAACTTATTCATTCAGCTCTTAGTGTAAACTTATATTGTTTTTCGATTTGCTATAGTTTGTTGTTTTATTGCGTCCGTGTACGTCGTTTATGGACATATTTTCACCTGGTCTCATGTTGCCGTGATTATCGTTATAAGATTAAGTTGTTGTTTTGTTTTGCCAATTTAATAGTTCATTATTTGCCCGTCTTCGCAATTAGTTCTTCGCTAGAACAAAATCCCCACCGGAAAAAACTTCCATCTTGTTTGAGGCAATAGAGTTCCTAATCGTCTTAGTCTATAAACTAAGCGGCTTACGCTTTCATGCGCCTGCCTTTCACGAAGAGATTGATTAAGAATAAATAATACGATTCCACCTAATTGATCTGAGTCTAGTTCACGTCCGATCTGTACGACTCTCACTTTTTGACATCAGTTGTTTTTAAAGCGATTCATCGAACGACTTGGTAATATAAAATAACCCGGCGAAAGTGGTTTGGAATGGAAAATCGCGAACGAAACTGTATAATTTCACTTATTTATCCGAATCTACATATGTTGAATTTCTAGGCGATATTGTGTGTTTTTTTGACGCCAGTTAGTTACCAAAAATTTTTGCTCTGGGGATTGAGTCAATCAATTTCGCTTAGTGCATAGTTTCAGTTGTGAGCTCTCGTAAATTCCCGAATATTCGATTACCGGTATAATTCCGTCTAACTTTCAAATATTAAACTTGCAGAGTAGCGGAAAACTATTTCCAGCATGGTCCCCTAATGAAATTCAAATGCTGCCTCTTAAAGCATCGTTTTAGTGGCATAACTGAATAAATTTAGCAGGGAATTATTTGCGTATTCTATGTCTGTTTAAAAATCCGCCACAACTTTCCTATGGTGTTTTTCACCTCTTTGATTTTTTCGGGAGTAAATATCAATTCTTAAAAATTTGTAATTATAGGAAATAATTAGTAAAACGTTTGCGCGTTTTCTTACCGGGTGCTTCGCCATCATAGTGCAGGTTCGGAATGAGCAAAGTTTGGGCGTCGACAATGACGATATTGTCTGAGGAAATCTGGTGAACCCCTTTCAGAGCGTCGATCTTCTGCGGTCTCGGATAGTCAAAGTTGCGGGGAATTTTCACGTCGCCGAAGTTCACCTGCATTGTCATAAAAGTTGTAAATTGCGAATTTCTTCAGGGATTCGTTGAGCCATTGCATCATTTCATAGCTAATTTGGTTTCGGTATGAGCTCTCTAGACAATTCCGCACAACAATTCAGTTTGTTGAATGTTTTATAGTTTGGAAAACGGAATTATTCAACAAAGGTTTGCTCAAATTCGCAAAGTAAAAGTAAAGACAATTGATAAAATCAAAACGGTTAAGTGGACAATTAATCCACTTTTACTTTTTTAAACTGTATTACTTATTTTACAACGTTTTACTTGCCATAAAAATTACTTTTGTGCAGGTTTAATTTTACTAATTTTTACTTACGTCAAACTCCTCACACCACACGTAAAAGATCTTGATATTGTTCAAGGTTTTGCCTTCGGGAAGGGTAAGGGTGACCCCTTCTTTTCTGTACCTCCTGATCACATCGCCGTTATTATTTTCGTCCCTTAACCGGAATCCTTTGCTGTCGGCAGTTTTATAGGTGCTGGCGTAGAAATAGGCCGCTGCGAACGAGAAAAAACTCGTTTAGATGCAAATTTCGCTTTACTGCCTTCCATTTTATTTGTCAATGGCTTAGAAAGTGCCAAGCATTAAATAAACTAGTCCAGGCAGTTTAAATTTATCTTCAACCCAGAAACTCCAGTCTAATGTCGAAATGAAATGATCAGAATCAATGAGCCCATTTTCCATTTAAAATTTGCTAAATCCGAACGATTGTGGCTCTAACTTTACGCTTGAAGTTATTACGCCACTGCCAACGAACAACTTATTTTAGCGGGGAAATATTTTCTTCATTTTATTGTGAAAAATATTACAATATGAAGGGAATGACATAGAGAATAGCGAAAAGGGCATGATTAATAACGTTGCATTAGCATTCCAGAAGAGAAATGGCCTAATAACTTGACAAAATTGCATTTTTGTTTTGCCAACTTGCTCATTTGAGAATCACATTAATCAACAGCGAATTTTTTGTTATTAAATTTTGCCTTTTCTCTATATGTCTTCTAAAACAATGACCAAGTAAGAAGGGCATTAAAATGAAAAGTTTTTTGAATTAATTGCTGCTGAGTTTTAAGCTTTAATCCCTAATAAACTTGCGTTTATTAATAGCAGTGTTTGGCTCCTTTTGAAAGAAATGAGGCCTATTTGGCTCGGATGATTGATGGTTTAACTTTCCTTTTTTAGTAAGAAAGTTTATTAAACTTTGCTACTTACCAGGGCCTTGGCCATCGTACGTGTAGTCTTTGATGTGTATAGTGCGGCCGTCTACCGCGTAAACTTCCCCCGAAACTCCATGGTGCAATTCGGATAGTTGCCCGATGAACTTGCCCAAGTATTCTCCATTTATTCCGCCTGAAAAAGATTGAATTTAGTGTCACCTTTCGCTTTTCCAAATGGAAGATAAAGGCCCTAAATTAGGCGTTTTCTTGTACGGTGCTCGACAACAAAGATCATTTGCGTACGTCGACGATAGATAGGATCTCTAAAATCTTTTCAAATCCGAATTACGCACGTCTCATTTCCGGAGCCGAAAGCAGATTAATTAAGCCCTGCTTAAAGCCCCGCCATCCTTTGCAGGTTCTCTCTTGGTGATAGTTAAGCCCTTCTGATATTTCGGCAACCCCTAGGATCTAGATTTTTCATAATGCCAGCAAGTAAATAACGTTTTGGCCCCCCTTTCGCTGTGGATGTCATGTTAATTGTTGAGCCCGTTTAGTTTATTCAAAGGCGCTGAATTTGGGAAAGTTCCTTTTTGCCTGTGTTGTGTCGAAATTGGGTACACATACACACTAGCTTTGGCGGGGGAAATTATTTAATTAATTATTTGCGCATTAATTGGAACGGAAAACTCTGGAATTAATATTTTGGGGGCAGTTGACATTGAAGCTGCAGCTGGACGGCAGTCGCGTCACTATTAATTAAACCTAATAAATGGCAAATTCTGAGCGAAAATCCGCAAAATATTAAATTGAACAAAAAGTTCCGAAAGCAAGCGCTAATATAATGTGCGCTTAATTAAATTCTGAGACTAAAGGCATGTAGGGATAACTATTTGTGGAAATGTGCCCCAATTTAAAAACGAACTTCCCATTCTTCTTCGACAGCGGAATTTTTAATCAGAGTCTAGAGAAACTAGACAAATAGCGCCGGTTTCCTGCGTTTCATACTTTAACCGTGACAAAAAAAATGAGTGTGCCGCTGATTAAAAAAGCATTTCTAATCTTTCCCATCACATTAGATTTTTCAGTCGAAACCAGTTCAATAACTCAGTTGAAACGAAACTGGATTTTAATGTAAAACTGTTTTGTCCCGTTTTTCTCCACATTTACATTGTAAGCCATTACCGTTTTTCAATCCGGGCTGGCGGCTTTGAAAACACGCAAGCGATTTTATGGTGCGGTGAACACTTATCTTATCCCCCGTCCGCCTTCTGCTTCTAGCTTGGAATTCTTGTTATGCGATGCATAGAATGTCGGTTTCTTGCGTCCACAAAGGCCGTTAATTAAAAAGTACGACGCCTTACTGCCCTACAAACACCAGAACAATCTGCAATTCGATCCACTGCGCACCGTCGTTTAAAGTGCATTTATTGTTCGAAAGTTTTAATTGTTGAGGTTTACCATTAATCAGGTCGTTAAATCTGCTCGACTTATCATTGTCTGTTTTGTTTCATCCGAGAAAATCTCACTACAAAAATGATGTGCTAGATTTCCAGAAAAACTTAATGCAACAAAAGTATTTAGAGTTTTTTGAACTCGCTATTGAACTCTCGCAAGTTCAAGCACAAAACCCTTCCACCGTCCTCAAGTAGATTATTAGCTTCACTTTCCAGAGCGAGCTGGATATTATTTAAATTAATGATTAATTGCTTCCTGCAAAACAGCAGCAAATTAGGGGAATTTGAAATTCTATTAAACAGGATTTTTTAAATCTTATCACATGGGGCAAATAACAGCAGAAAAACGGCAGGAATAAATTATTTTCCATGAGTGAAAACTCCCTAACTCTTTTGCTTAAAATGCGATTCACTAAGAAAAATAAAATATTAATCATAAATTTCGATTCGAAACGAATAGCCGATGGAAAAGTGCTACACTTTTTTCACTCCGTAGCTGTTTGCAGGTATAATTTAAAAATATGTTTTTGTCATATTTCAATCAAGAAAGTTCAGTTGATGATGGGAATTTTAAATAGACAGAAAATAAGCCCTGAAAATTCGCGTTTTTTAGTTTTCAGCTGGCGATGGCAAGAATCAAAATAAATAAGTCAAGTTTTTCATTACGGATAGATGTTTCTTTCAAAAGTGTCTAGAATTAATTATAGGACAGTAACAATTAATGATATAACACGTTCGCGAAGGTAGAGTGTGTAAAAATCCTATGAAAAACTGAGATATTTGCAAAAAACCAGAACAGAAGGACTCATCTGCCTCATAAACAGTACGTAAAATCCTATTGCTTGTCGAATATCAAAAGCTTAAGTAACCATAGATAAACACAGAAAGTGAGGTTGAAATGCAAAGAGATAGGTTAGGATAGGTCTCTGGGAAGCGAATGTCAATATAGAAGGTTGTGGATCAATGATCTATTTACAATTAACTGAAGAAGTGGAAAGTCAGAAGCCGAAAAATAGGGGAAACATTCTGGGGGTTTGAAAAGAACCGATTTGAAATGTGGGCACTCACAAGAGGTGTTCAAACTTCTGCCCATTTAACTATATTTTGCTCCTACTTTGAGCACCTTTTCGGATTCGTTTAATCAACTCGTACTCAATTTGTACCGGTGTTCAGTAGACCAGAAATTATTACGATTAAATCATTCGAATGATCTCGCTTTGGTTCAAAAAAACAATTCGGTTATTTCCATCAGTATTTCAAGTTTCAACAATTTTGAACTTTAACGATCAAATCCGATATGCTGAAGAAGCGAAAAGTGAAAGTTTACCGTAGCCAATAACTGATGATTGAAGCTCCCGGCTTGAGCTTATTAAGTGGGCAAATATGCATCAATATATAAAATGTGCTGATGATATTTCAATTTGCCAACAGTTGATAAATAATTTGGCCTATAAAGTTGCAATGTTTACAGGCGAAAGCCATTATCATTGCAAAATTCGTCAGGTCGTCACCGTTTGAATTGGCTTTTATTTGTATTGATAGGAATCTTTGCAATTTAGCGACAATCGGTTGCAAATGAAAGTTTCGATTGCGACCAACCCAACCAAAGTTTTCATTTCAAAGCGACCATCAGTCAAAACACCGTGTTGGTTTTACGCCAAAGTCGAAAAATCTCTTTTAACGTTGCGAAGATTTCAATTCTTTTATAGTGAATGGTTTATGCGGCCTTGACATTTATCGTGCAGTTAACATAAAAGAACATTGTTGGTTTATGTTACATAACATGTAAATGAGTTGCAGTCGAGCGGCCAGGCTTAACGCCTTGGAAGCCCCAAGATCTCTTGCTTGAGTATCCCAACTTGAAAAGTTTTAATTAACGACGATTATCTGCAATTTCGAAACGTTTCGTGCGGCACCATATAACAATGCAACGATTACAAAAAACTCGAAAACTAATATGCATTGAATCTTCATACTCAATTTCCATTAGTATGGAAGAAGCTGTTAATGGAGCGTAAACCCAAGCCCAACTGCCTTGGGTAATTTACTTGGAAACTTCAATAAAAAAAGTTGATCTTTACATGAAACGCATGAAAATCATTAAAATTTAAAAGGCAGGAAAAGCTAGTGAACTGACACAATTTTATCAAGGATGAATTCCTTAAGTATATTTTAACATTTAAATAATCGCTTCGTTATTAATTGCCTGGGCAACTTTTCCCTAGGCGCGTATCAAACGTGAGCATATTCTGAATGTTTTGCCTTCGAAATCTTCAAAGCCTGATTTATTGTCTTGAGGTTTATCTTATTGATAATTTGATTAAATTAGCCGAGCACTTAAGAAAATAAATTGCATTTAAATCAAATACTTTTCTAAGATAAACTGAAATAAAACCATACGTGTTTGGATTTGTGAATGCGTGGTTACCTTCGTTTTCAACGCTGCTTAGCAATGAAAGTAGTCTATCTTCATTTCAGTATGTAAAAACCCGTTATTGGTTGCGATATATCTGGTGTTCTAGTTTTTCCTAATTAAATACCCCGTGCAACATTGAAGTGGCGATTCAATTCAATTTGTCGATCGAAAATTAATAGGCAATGTCAATTTAGGTGGACTTTTTCACTCTGGCTGGCTTAAGGTCACGTTGATAGTTGAACTTTTACTTATTTTGTCCTGGTTTTTTCGCTTTTTTACTACGGGAAACAGAAATTTTACGAATCATGATATCATGCAACAAAAAAAAAACAGTGGTTTCTACGGTATGGAACCTGAAAAACTAGCGACTTAATGTTAAGATCTGAAACAGTCCGGTTTAAGTGGCTGTGCCAAGGAGAATCATTAGTATTTCGAAAACGTAAATTAAACGTAATTTAAATTTAATTGCAGTCTATAAGTGGGGTTTTTCAATAATGCCATCCAATTATTTGTTTCGAAATAAATATGATACATATCAAGCACATTGCAATTGTTAACGGAAATAACAACACGACTTGAAGAATTTTTTTAAGCGCTGGTTTTCTCACTGTTTACTCGATTACTTTGAAGAATTTTTGCGGTTTATTACTGCGATTTCCGCGACAGGCACAAGTATATTAGTTTGTTAACCGAACGACGAATCTCACAATTGAAGGTACATAACATGGTGTTGTTAATTACAAGACAAATTTCATTTTGTCGTTTCTTTTTGTCGCAAAGTATGTTAACCATAGATAATTTTTAAAATTTGGTGCTTCTCCTAGCAACATACGTGTTACAAGAAGACTCTGTACAAGTTACAAGAAGACTCTGTACAAGTTACAAGAAGACATTGTATTGCCGCAAAAGCATCTTTGATTGCTGGATTTTTTTCGAGAAATAGTGTTAATGGTGCCAATTTGAATACATTGGCGAACCCAAACTGGAAATCGAGTAGATGAATTGTACTGAAGGAACGGAATGTTAAAATTCGTGTTGTTCTAAAGGTGATTTTCAGAAAATCACCTTTTTGATACATTTAGTGCAATGTGAAAAATTCTTTTTGCTGCACTTTCACAATTTTCGGTCGTGATCAACCGCCGACATAAATGTGCAACATTAACTACTGTAAGTGTAATGACATGGTAGTTTCGAAATTCCGAACCACAGGCTTTGAAGCTGGTTGTTCTCAGTCAAGAAGGTTTCCAATTAGGAGAAAAAAATCAACAATTTAAAGCCCATTGTCACTCACCGACAAAACTAACGGCGGCAAACAGCAGAAAAAGATGACGGCCGCTCTTGGCCATCGTCGCTGTTGTTGTAGCACACAATTCACACTAACTGGAGGAACCAACTTGAATGTCTTTCACTTTTAATCTTTCATATTCAAAATGCTGAAGAACTACTCGTTACACTGCTGTGTTCGCGACTATGGACCCCTCTCTTTGCTCGGGTCGAGTTTTGCAATGTTTTGGATAAATTTTCTTCTCTCGTTCTGTATTGGTTTATTCGTCAGTTGCTCGATCGTGTGGACTTAACATTCTACAGGGAGATTGAAGAAAAACATTCACTTCTTATCAGTTTGATGATTTATTTTTGTCATTCGAAGCTTTCTGGATGATTTCCATAGACTAAAGTCGATTTTTCTTACAGCGGAAGCGATATTTAGTAATTTTTTGGTTTTGGTTCGAAGTTGAGAATTGTTTGGCTTTTGAAAAACGTTGTGAATCGTTACAAGTTTCCCGAATCGTTCACAAGAACCCAGATGAATATAAAAACCCTTTAGCAGTAAAAATATAATGTTTTATCACTTAGGTTGAAAAAATTGATGAAAATTCATCGGGGTTGAAAAAAAACTTTCGTATAACATCACGCTGTGACGCTTGATCCAAACATTGCAAACGAGGAAAACTGATGAGGTGAAGTAAGGTGATTCATCATTGTTTTTTTTGCAAACTGTCAGACTGTAAAAGAGACTAGTAAAATGACTCTATTTTTCTCTATTTGCTCATTAGATTCCCTGGTAGTATTGCTTGTACTGTAAAATTGCATATAAAAAAATTATTGAGGTGATGGCAATGAGGAAAGTAATTTGCAGCTATTTCTTTTGTAAATATCTTAGTTTCTTGCGGGAATATATTTTTTTACTGTTTTGTCCTAACTTCCTAAATAACTGCTCGCAATCACCCCGTATATATTTTCTCGAGAAAAAACCCAAAACCCTAGTTTAGGTATGTGAAATGCACCCAGTGGGAGAAAGTTGTGCATTTTTATCTCATTAAAATATATCTCGCAGCTCCGGTAGTTGATCACTTTCTACCCGCTTTGGAAGATTATTGATGAGCTTGCAACACTTCCATTTCGTGGTATCAGCTGCACATTGGGTTGGTGATTTTGAAACTTGAATGGTCGTTTTCCGTACCCCTTGAGCCGACACTGGATTAGAGGAAAAATCCAAAGATGGCCAACAAAGAGAAATCTCGCCCAAAATTGAATGAACAAGCAACACCCGCCTATACCGTGATATTTTAATGATATTCGAAAGGTAAAAAGTTGCAACCTGATATCATTTTTAAGAAGTGTAGGTTCAAGTTTATTGCTCTCTTTTACGTAATACGTCTTCGGACCGTCTTGTCAGCTTTCTAAATTATTTTGCAACAATGATGATGTTGATGAGTTTGCATCAAAGGAGAATTCGGCAGATACAGAGTGTTCCAAACTGAGTCCAAGCATTGTCTGGGTTAAGTAGAATAATTGCGAATTATTTGTGAGAGTAATGGGTCACAATTTGCATAACTAAAAATCGCCGGTTTTTTGCTGATTTGAGGCTGAAGAAATATTGCTCCTTTAATATTGAGTGTTGCAGAAAATCCCAATTATTCCGGTTAATTAACAGCGACGATTTGGCGCGTAATCAAACTCCGTGCCGTAATAGTTCAGTAGCTGTGATTTAATGTTTTCCAGCAAATTTGATATTCTGAAGATTTTTTCCGTTTTTCCGCTACGTCGAGCAGCAACGCGGATTTTAATTACATTTTTGTTTATTTGAGTTCGTCCCCGGAAACGGATGGCGTAACTCTTGATTCAGCGTAACATTCTAGATCTGTGTTTTACATTAAATGTCCAATTATTATAATAAAATTTAATATCGTCAATTGGGTCAGTTTGGTTTCAATATTGCTCGAAAGATTGTTCAATTTGTTTGCATCATTTTCCATTAGTCTTTGAGATTATTCGCCGATTGAAATATTCTTGTTGCATTTTGAGTCTAATATTTGCTGGTTGAACGTGAGAATGGTTTTCTGCCTTTTTTTCATTCAATGAAATCAAATCGCAGTTCGATTAATAACACACTGGTTGTTTACAATAAATAACTAATTATCATGGTTAGAAGTATTAAATGTGGCTAATATATAATTATTAGCAAAACAGCGGGTTTTCTCCATGACCCACATTTGCGAACAGTGTATCGGAATATCTTCAGTAAACGCATGTGGGCTGGGTGGATTGTTTTGTCTTGTCTCTTCGCATTCATCGCGTTTTTTAAACGGTCTTGCAACATCAATAAAAAATCGACTTCCAGGAGGCGAAAGTGTTTTGTAATTTTATGAATTTTACTGGTTCCAGATACTCGAGATTGGACTAACTAGGTTTTTTTTACTTGGCGAAGCCAATTAAACCTATTAGTGTAGGTCGCATTGGTATTTGACCTTTGCAAGCCGCATTGGTCACTAAAGCAGTACCGGCAGGATTTTAACTAGTGTCGTGGTAGATTTGAAGGAAACATCGTTATTTTTTAATCGGGCAATTTGCATTATTCAAGGTTGGTGCTTTGGTTCAGTTTTACTGTGTGCGGTTCTGTGGGAATTTCAGAAGATTATCATTTCCTATTAAAAGTGGAGATGATCTGCAAATACACATACAATAGGATCTACAATACATCAGAGCTTGTTGGTGTGAACCAACCAATGTACAAAAAATGAGGTAGAGATGAATTCAGTCCCTCACTATCCCTAAGGGCCCCAACGCATTTATATTGTGTATCGGGACGCACATTTATTCCCAAACAGCTTTTTAAAGCGCCGTTCCAGTTCTGCTAACCCGCGTTACTTGGGACATTCCGAAAGTTAAAAGTCATAATTTATGGATCATTTATCAGACAACGCTCCAATTACGATCGATCATTCGAGTTTTGGTGCCGTTCCGGAGAGGGCGCCAACGGTCCTCATCCAGACGTTCTGGAACCGGCGCCAATCGACCCTCTCCAGGATTTTTGCCCGAATCTCCTCTCGTCCATATCGTGGCGGAATATTTCGAATATGCGCAGTGGACGTCTGGATATTCACGTTGTCGGTTGTTTCGTGCCAATAAGTTGGCTAACGTATTTCTCTAAGGGTGGTCGGGGTTTAAAATTTCGACGGACCTCCTTGCCGACCAGATTTTCCAGGTAAGAGTTCACTCAGTAGTTTCCATTCAGTCTTTCTGAGCCGCAAAAAGCGGCGGTTTTATTCACGATTTTTTCGTTGCTCATACGGCTTAACCTAAAACCGACACGGATATATGAATTTTTTAGTCGCACCTTGAGGACTAAAATAGGGTCTTCTTTAAAAATGTATGCTCCTAATAGGCCAGAGCCTAAGAAGCAGGGCCGTTCATTTCCAGAGCGATTTGCAATCGATAAGTTTAAGTTTGGTTGAGGTTATCGGCAGCTTTGATTGTACCGTTCAAATTTTGAACATTTTTAGGCTCTTGACCACTGGCTTCATAATCTTGCTTCTGTTCTTCCTCCACTTTTTCCGCTGAATTCTTGCTTCCTCATCAAGCGTATGCTGGTGCTTTTGAACATTTGATCGAATTTCCTATTTGGCTGATGAAATATGCATCAACTTTTGGATGGGAACCGACGGCTTTAGTTAATCCAGAAGTATTTTCATGCTCACGTTGTTTGAATTTCCAGAAGAAATCTCCAGTCCCATTCAAGACTTGCTTGGGTTCTAGTTGTCTCTTTACATACACTACATGTTCAGTTTTTTGCGCAAAGTACTGGTTTTTTCCACTAGAAAAAGTCCCCATATGGTCAGTTCTTGCTTAAGTCATCAATGCAGGTTAATTCTTATTAAAATAAGATTAGGACACTTACTCGAATTTATTCTATTTGCTATTTTATCCACTTCTAAAACTGATCTTCTACCACGGAAACGTGCGCGCACTGGCCTAACGAGCCCTTATAAAAGGCTCTCAACGTTAGGGACCCTAATCAATAACATCTTCGAAAGTGAGAAACTTCAACTCTTTAAATTATAAAGGAGTCGGCGAACTATTTTAGGTCAACTACAGATCGGGAAAATGAGCGCTTTTGTGAAGAGACGACAGACTCTCAACGACGCCAATTTTCCGTTGTGTAGGTTGGCATCACGTTTTTTTTTCTTTATGGGGAAATGGAGAAAGTTTGTTGCCGCATTGTCGGAGTTGTTGAGGCTTTATTTGCGCGCTGTCCGCCTTATTAACGTCTTAACCAACGAATCGTGGCATCTACATGTGATCTAACTGAAGGAGTTGGTAGGTTTAATTTCTTTAATTGCTCCAATGATCCGGAAGTTAAAATTGAGTGGAAGTTGACAAAGGAAATCATTTTGGGCTGAATAAGCCTTGTAAGTGAAACAGTTGCAAGGATAATTAACTGGGAATTAGTGATGAGAACTTGAGATGATGATGAGAGTTAAAAACCCGCTTGAGTTTAAATGTGATTGGGAGTTGAATTGAGCATTGCGAGGGGGCCCGAACACTCTCTTTGTGGCACTTTTCCAAGTTTGGGAAACTTTTGAGAAACTCTCGGCAGTTTCAGGCCATTAAAATGCAATGATATCGAACGATGTTGTAAAACCAGCACTCGATTGATTGATTGTGGTGGATTTTGTTGGTCCGCCACTGCACGGCATATGGTTGGATAATCACTCGGGGAACAAAGGGTTTTTGCACCCCGTTTTCTAAGTGTTTTCTCCACGTACCCAACTCCCAGAAGAGCCAGTTCTTGTTAAGAAGGAAAAATGTTGCGCCATAAAAGAGCCCGGTAAGGGCCCACGATTTTATGAAGCTCCTAGAAAGCCTGCTGTCAAGCAGCCCTTTCATGCATTGGATGGAATACATGCAGAGATAAATTTCAGCCAAGCAATGGCTTAATTCACATGTCAAACTGCTTTGTTGCTACCCCATTTGCCTGATCGGATTGGCTAAATTCGTCACATTTCCGAGATTTTCTATCAAACTCTGGCCGGTATCGATTAGGCCGAACTTCCAACTTTGGGCTAAAAATAATTCGCATGCTTACAACTTAGAGAACTAGAGCAAAAGTAAGACGTTCTGGTTTCACACGTAACCTTTCTCGGTCGGTTCATTATTTAGATTTTTTTGTCGATAAAAGGCTGCTGAAATGTGTCTAAACGTTTGGGGTTTAAGGGCAGATGGGAATATAATTTGCACAGGGGAAAAAGGCCTTGTGGGGAAATGCGGAATTTGAATCTCTCCCCTTTAAGTTTTTCTTCAGTTTTTTTGTAGAACATGCTGTTGTAACACTACAGCTTGGGTTAAAATTAATGGTTTCGGATAGTGTTCTTTTGGCTTCGATTTTGAACACACGCATTCCCTTATTTGGTCTGTTTTGGGAAAAATTCATTTAATATGCCCAGGCTGGTTGACTAATGTGGAATCCAGCTCGTCTAATGAGCAAAGCACAATGGCGTCGTTCGCTGTTCATTTGCTTGTCTACGATGATGAAAAACAAGGTTTTCGCTTGCTCATACTTATGGGTAGGATAGTAGAAATTTGCCGCCAACAATCTACTCCTCAGGTGATCGCTCATTGTTATTATCTTAGTTGTGTGGGCTGATAAGCTAGTGACTCCCCAACGTGCAGCCATTGTAATTGCCCTGCCTGTTTGTGTGTTTTTTAATCAAAAAAAACAGCCAACTTCTTGACAAACATTTTCTGAATAGTTGTTGGTTTAAGCGGCTGACAAGGTTCAAGGTCTGATAAGTAAATCAGACATTTGAATTGTTTATTAGTGACGGTGATTGTATTTCTGTTATGAATATTATTGTTCAGAAGGCTGCTTTGTTTGTGGTTTTGTGGATTTTGAAGAATTCCTTCAATTGATAAGTACATGTGAGTTTGTCATGATTTCTTTGCTGGGAARCAGGGCTTAAGGGGCACTGGGAGTAGTGATGAGAAGAATCGAATAAACTGATTYGAATCATACGACAATGGAATCAAATGTGTCGAATGAATCRTACACCATAATAATTGAATTCACTTTCGCAAAGTGGGAGAAGATATGGGCATTTATTGATAGCAGAGAGATGTTTTATCGGGACGCAGTATTGTARTTCACAGGAACGTTGAGTGAATAKTGAGGAAAAGCAACAGCAAATGCTAATGTGATGAATGAACAAAGCGATTCGAACTGGRAAAATTAGGAATAAAAGAAATACAARTGATTACTCTAACACACCGTACTTTTTGAATATAGAATAAACCTGTGAACGTATGAATATTGGAGTTTCTATTGCAYTGCGTTCATTAATTCGATTAAATAAGTCAAATTATTCAYTCGATTATTACTCATTAMGACKAGATGTCAGTAATTTCTCAATTATTCAAACAATTCCATTATTCCCTTCAATATCGTGTAGGTGCAGGCAGGTAGTCGGCACAAGTACGACGAGGCAGAATTTTGATGAAGAAATTGTTCAGTTGATGTCGCTCTGCGCGTCATGAGTTATGACACCTCGCGTCTAACGGACCGACACCTTGAATAACACTCAAATTTAACCTCATTCAAGCAGGCAGACTTCGGATTGCAGGTTCGTGAAGGCCGCGCACAGTCATCATATGATTCCCGATAGCAAAAACTAGTTAAAACCCGAATTTCGAATCGCGAATCCTGAAAAAAAATGCAGTGCACAGGTTACAAAATATATTTTTYCCAGCACGCAAATGAAAATTATRTTATTTCAACGATGCCCGACACCTGTTAAATCATCCAAATATTCGGATCTTTTCTCCAAAAATTCCCTTGTRAGRCAACTAGGCGTTACAAGAAGAAATTTTGTTTCGAGTTCATTTCTTCCATTGATTAAATCAAAGCGACCGGCGTGTCATAGTTTCTCTTCAGCAAAACCAATGGAAAAGAGATTGAATGCGTTGAAGCGCTTAAAAGCCCCYCTATACATCATGTAACACAAGGTGCTCTGTTATCTCGCAATACATTTGTCGTATCATGAGCTACTGCATCATAAAACGGGTTGACGCKTTGTAYTGACGCGACAAGCGCTTGGTATTAGTGCGTCAACACCTGCGACACCCAGGCCTAGACTGAACTGTATTCACATAACTTCAAATTATTCGCATCTTAACTACTGCCACTCCTCCACACTTAATCTTATGACATCAATGAAATTAAATAAGACCAAATAAACACAGAAAATATTTCCATTTTTCCACACATTTTTGTATGTAAAACTGTTATGTATTATGTAAAACAATAATAAGCCGGGCTTTTCGGTCCGTCTAATTCCCTACTGATGTAATTATACAGTGCTACAAGCGGATTATTTCAACTTTAAAACTCACTTTCCAACAAAGCTCTATTTCGTATCCCTTACTTTGATAAATCTTATTTGTTCTCCGGCACTTGGACGGTTTAATTATGAGGCGAATTTTGCAGTATATTGCTCAGTCCGAGAGTTATTTAACGAAGTTATGGCCTGAATCGATAGTACAAGTTCTTGTCCTAAATCGAGTAGACAGATTGTCGGTAATTAAGTGTATTAGACTTAGTGCTCTCTCCTCCCTAATTAATTAAATTTGCCTCCTTCCTCCCTCTACTCTTAACTGGGCTCGAATCAGATTTAGATGTATTTGCGAACGACGCCTAATTTAATTCAATTATGGGGGCCGGTTGGCGTTTAATGTAACCTTTTCTGACACCGAATAGAATGGTAAGGTTGAACAAGGCCATTTTGCATTTTTGGGGAAAAAAGGCTGCGAACTGAATAAATTATCAGTTGTGAGGTTTGTTTGCCTCCCTGGGGAAATTATTGATATTGATACCATCGGAAAGGACAAAAAAAGCCTAAGGACCTTTTCCCGTCTGGGACAGGTTGTAAAGTTTGGCGATTTTCCGCTAAATAAACAACAAACTGGAGTCAGTCCAGTTTGTCTCAGAAGGCTCAATGATCGGTTATTGGCAGGCTTCTAGTTGCGTAGGGTTACTCTGGGAAATTAAAACAATTTGGAGACAACTCGTTAGAATCTTTAGGACGTTAGCAACTGATTTTTTTAAATTCAGGCAACAACTGGGAATAGATGAAAGTACGTACTTTTAAATCAAAATTCTTCTTCTCATGAACTTCAAAGAGGAGTCGAAATATGAGCGGCAACTTTTTTCATTTGCTCCGGTCATTTATCTCAGTAGAAGCAAACGTTTATTAAAGTGGAAGAGCGATTCAGACTGCCGAGTTAACCATAAAATATTGTTCCCGGTTTAGATCTGGGTTCAAATACTACAAGCGAAAAAGACGTCGAATCCGGAAACCCAATTTATTCAAATTTGAGAAAGTCGTTCGTCACTGAGTCCAGTCAAAACAGGCAATATTGGTTTTACGAAGCACTATTCCAACTGTGTTTAGATTGATTGTGTCTAGAGCTGAATTTTATTTATTATTCTAGTCGAGCAAAAGTTGCAATTTCTGAATCTGTAGTGCGAACTTTTTGCTCCCCATCTGCCAGCAATAAAGTTTTGTTACTTCCGATGTTAATGCGCGTTAAAATGATAAAAACTTGTAGTAAAGCCCAATGATGCGTCCATAATATTAAAACTTTTCATGAACGTCTTGTTCACAACGGGTTTGCTTTACTATGCAATATTAAGTAGTTCCGGCCCCTAAGGGAGAAATAATTTGTCTTTAAGTTGCTAAAGAAAACTCGTTAAGATAAGCCTCGTTCCGAAAGAAAGTTTACAACGTATAGTAAACGTTGAACAGCACAGATACGAATATTCCGAAATATACGGGAAGGGAGGATATTTGTTGCTGTTTTATGGCGGAATGTTTACGTTTATGATATTATATGCTCAAGGGAAGGTAAGAATGTTATCGGAACGATATAAACTAACGGCCATGCTGATCATAAAAAAGCCTGATCGAAGTGCTTGACTTGAATCAGATTTCAAAAGAAGTCACATTGGAAACTCATCTTTAAATTCCATCGGAAAGCTTGTTGCTTTATACTTATATCAGTTTTTCCTGTTCCATAAAAGTCGCAGCTGAGAGTGATCGGCAAACGAAATAATAAAGAGTACACTTAACTGATGAAACTATAAATTCTTCACTCTAATCAATTGAGAAGAATTCGGAATTTTCAAAAATTTCTACAAACTGAACATTAATATATGATAATATACATATATGAAATATTACATAAGTTTATACTATTTATCTATTGCTATTTTGTTAAATATTTAATAAATAAATTCAGCTAAAAATCAAATTGTTCATGAATCTCTAAAACGCAATCCTATTGGTTGTGACGTTTCTGGTCATATAAATGGCGGATCGTTTACGTTCTGTGCATAGTGTTTAGTTGTGGGGTTGTGTTTCATTAATTATTTTGTGGATTTAAATAATTTATAATTTGTATTAAACTAAAAAATGGCCTCAGAAGGATTCCTTAAAGCGCCAACAAACAATTTACCATGTGTACATATTTTTATCGTTACCGAATTTTTAAAAAACGACGACCGCTTTAATTCAGCCAAATTTAAGGGTGTCAAAGCAGCAGCGTAAGTAAAAATCCGTATATTCCTTATTAGTTACTTTCTCCTTAATATACTAATCTGTTTGTATTGGGTTAAATTAGGTAAATAATATATAGAAATTCACTTATTCAACTTAACCTAACCTATACACATGGCTGCTTTAAAAGTAAAATGAATTCTTAAATTTGTATTTTGGGCATTACGAGAACAATATGGT